TATATTTCTTAATCAAATCCAGACCCCCTTCTCCATTCATGCCTCCCATCCCCCCAGACCTATGTTTTGATGTTTAATCTTTTGAGTTCAATATGTTTTAAGTATTAACCCTCTGTCAGAGGTATAGTTGCTAAGGATTTTTCTCTTTCTGTGGGTTTCCTCTGAACTTGAATGATGGTGTTTTCTGCTGTACAAAAGTTTTTTTATTTTTATTTTTTTAGTTTCATAAGGTCCTATTTGTCAGTTATTGGACTTAATGCTTTAACTATAGGATTCCTGTTTATAAAGTCTTATCCAATGCTTATAAGTTCCAATATAATCTCTACTTTTTCCATTATCATATTCAGAGTACTAGGTCTTTTGTTAAGGTTATTGATCCATTTGGAGTTGAGTTTTGTGCATGATGAGAGATAGAGATCTGGTTTCATTCTTCTACATGTAGCTATCCAGTTTGACCAGCACTATTTGTTGAACATGCTGACCATTCTCCACTGTGTATTTTTGACAACACTGTCAAAAGTCAGGTGACTATAGGAACTTGAGAAACAACTCAGTAGTTACGAGCACTGGTCGCTCTTGCAGAGGACCCACAATCAGTTCCGTGCACCCACATGGTGGCAAACAACCATCCATAATTCCAGTTCCAGGGGATCCGATATCATCTTTTGACTTCAGTGGGCTTTACACAACACAGGTGCATTTATATGCATGCTGACAATACACTCATACACATAAAAAATAAAAATAATAAATAAAATATCATTAAAAAATCAGGTGACTTTAAATGTGTGGACTTAAATCTGGGTCCTCAACTCTCTTCCATTGATCAGTGTGTCAGTTTTTCTGCCAGTACCATTCTAGTTTTATTACTATGGTTTTATTACTATAGTGTAAGTTCAGATCGAAGATGGGAATGCATCTAGCAGTTATTTTGTTCTTCAGAATTGTTTGTCTTGTTTTGTTTTGTTATGATTTGTTTTGAGAAATCAGAGACTGTATCTCCCTTTACTAAACATGAAAGTACAAAGGGCTCTATATACAGGAAGGCTGAAGGACACTGAGGGAGGAGAGGGACACTCAGACCAAAACTACACAACAGAGTCCCATTTCACAAAAAGAGCTCAATGCTTATTTCCAGGGAGAAGCAGGACATGGTCAGCTCAAATTTAATGATATCATCTGGATGAAGGACCCCAAGCTTCCTGATATTTTGACCCTAGGGGAAAAATCTCAGCACATCATCCATAGAAGAATGCAGGACCTGCTGATGCTTGGATCATGTAACCCCTCTTCTCACCAGGAGGCATAATTCTGTCTGGCAGCATATGGATTATCTCAAACCCAGGATTCTTGTTACAATAAGCATTGCAGAGAAGCCTGCAGGTTTTTGCACCTAAATTTTGCTAGAATCCTTTACTACAATGTCAGAGATTTCAAACAGTTTCAGGGGAAGGGGCATCTTCTGATTTTCTATGATGGGTCTTCAGGAGACCAGGAATAAGGGTGGTGCATGCCAACTGGAATTCAGCTGTATTGGGATTATTTATATGGACTGCATTTGTTACAGAGATATCCAAGCCAATTTTATCAGCAATATTTTCTTAGGATCACAGAACAAAAGTTAGAGCTTCAGTAAAGCCAGTGTGGCCACGTTGAGTCTGAGGAATTCAGTGAGCTTATTGAGAGGAAATTTATCAGCTATGGTGTATGTTTTTGGCATAGTCATCTGAATATTTTTATAACCATAGCAATAGCTGCATCCTCCACAACATCACAGGCATGGATAATATTATCTCTGGTTGGAGGAATTTTATTCTCAATCTGATTGCCATCACCTATGACTTCTGGTTTCAAATATATCCTGGTCAGGAACTTGGCAAGATTCAAGGGAATATCTGATTACAACGTTCTTGTTTATTAAATCATCTCTCATTATCTCCTTTCTGTAAGCCAGTTCTGGAAAGGTATTTGATTTTCCATTAGGAGAAACTACCTCAGCTACTTCAACAGTAAACTGTTTTTCACAAAATTCACTGAACCATGGTGATAATAATGTCAAGGAAATTTTTGCCTTAGTGATTCAGTTCTTGTGCATACAATAAATACATTTCTAGTACTTACTTTTATTTTTGAATGATTCTCATTTATGATTGGAAGCAATGAAAAGACAACACCATTGCTATCACATATTCTGGGGACCAGGGTTTTATTTTCAATGATATGTAAATAATGTTTAAGTTGGTTATCACTCTTGTATATGTTCATTGGTTCACAAGCTGTATATTCCTTAGTCTTATTCAGAGGCCTGAATTTGATATCCAATGGATGCTTTAGAGTGTAAGTAAATGGGCCTGATTAGTATCCAGGTCATGGGTGCCAATAGCCACCAATATTCTTTTTTTCTGCAAATATTCTGATGTAATTTCTCTTGAAGTTCAATGAAGCTGTTATATTAGTCCTTTGTAAACTTTATATTCTGGAGAACTGCTGCTACAACAAAAGGGAGTATGTTAGCTGTCTCTTCTGTGATAATCAAGTTTTGGCTTTCTCCCTTAGGCATTACTTGTTCATATACTGGAGCTTTTATTCTTTCTTTGAAGACATGAAGTTTCCAAACCAATCTTTCCATACACAGGAGATCATGTCTATTGGCAGGGACATTGGTCTTGTAAAAAAACATCGGAGGCCCCCCTTCCTTGATGTTACCTTGTTCCTTACTCATAATTTCCTTCCCAGAAGTAATTTCATCAAGTTCCAGTCCAAATTCAAAACATAGCTCATCAAATTCTTTATCAGTGTAGGTATGGCCCGGGGCTTGGAAGAACAGATTGTGCTTCAAACTGACAGTCAGCATCCTTCAGAATTGTTTTGACTCTCCTGGGTTTCTTGAGATTCTATATGAAATTTAAGATTATTTTTAGATTTCTGTGAAGAATTGTGTTGGAATTTTAATGAATAGTACACTGAATTTGTAGCCTGATTTTTGTGGGATGACCATTTTCACAATATTAATCCTAGAGATCCATGGGCACAGGAGGTCTTTCTATATTCTGGTGTTTACTTTCTTTCTTCCTCATTTTCAAGTTTTTATTTTGCAAGTCCTCTACTTCCTTAGTTAGGTTTAGTCCAAGATATTTGATGTTTTTTGAAGCTATTGTGAATGAATGGGACTGTTTCCCTTATTTCTTACTCAACATTTGTTTTTGTATAGATGTTTGTTTTTGTATAGAGGAAGGCCACTGACTTTTTTTGTTAATTTTATATATTGCTCCTTTGATGAATGTGTTTATCAGTTGAAGGAGTTTTTCTGGTGGAGTTTTAAGTATTTTTGTGGACTGAATCATAGCATTCAAATAAGGATAATTTGACTTCTTTCTTTCCAATTAGTTTCCCATTTATCTCCTTCATTTATTTTATTGCTCTAGCTAAGACTTTAAGTACTGTGTTGAAAAAGAATGAAGAGATTGGACATACTTGTCTTATTACTGATTTCAGTGAAAATGCCTTGAATTTTTCTGTTTAGTCTGATATTGTCTGTATACTTGTTGTGTATTTCCTTTATTATGTTTCGATAAGTTCCCTGTATCCCTAGATTCTCCAAGACTTTTATTATAAATGAATGTTTACTTTTGCCAAAGGCTTTTTCTGTATCTAATGAGATGAACATTTGGTTTCTGTCCTTGAATCTGTTTACATTTACTCTTTTATGATGTTGAACAAACTTTGGGATGAAGTAAAATTGACTGTGGTGGATAGTCTTTTTGATGTGCTCTTGCATTCAATTTGTGAATATTTTCTTAATAATTTTTGTGTTCATTAGAGAAGTTGGCCTATAGGTATTTTTATTGGGTCTTTTCCTGGTTTTGGTACCAGAGCAATATTGGATTTATAGAAAGATTTTGGGACTGTTCCTTTGCTTTCTATTTTACAGAATAATCTGAAGAGTATTTGTATTAGTTCTTCAATATTTTGGTAAATTTCTGTAATTCCACCATATCCTAGTTTCCTTGGGATAGCATGTTTCAATTGAAAAAAAATCCATAGGCATCAGGAAACTAGTAAAAGGTAATGAACAGTGGATCCTTCATGTATAGGGAGAGAAATTACCTTGATATAAATTGGAAAGGGGGAATAATGAAGTAGAAAGGGTTAAATGGAGTTGGGAATGAAAGGTCAGGGAGAAGAATGGGGTAAGGGGACTTTAGAAAATATCATTTGGAAATCTACCACTATAGAAATATGTTAAAGTATGTACATATATTGTCTTAAAATATATTAAAAGAGTCACTCCATATGAAGGAGACATCAGACCTCCTAGACAACATAGACTTAAAAATAAGCCTAATTCCACAAATGGGCTCCCTGTTTTGAAGCTGTTAGCCTGAGGTCCCATAGACCCTTAAACAATACTAGCCATTGCTTCTACTCTTGGTTACCCAACAGAACTTGAAACTAAAACCCTATTGTTGAAAGCATTGCATACATGAGTTATAGGCCAAGCTCAAGCTAACAAATTCCCAGCTTAGAATTTGGGAAGTAGATAAGAAACTGCAATTCTAGCTGAGAAATTATTGGCAACCAATAACTGCTAAAGAGGGGGAGAGTCGGTCATCTTTAAGCATATGACTCTGAGTAGATTAACCGGGCTCCAGTGGATAGATTTATACCTAAAGATACTTCGGAACACAAGTCTGACCATATAGGCATGTGTGTGTGTGTGTGTGTGTGTGTGTGTGTGTGTGTGTGTGTATGTTTATTTTACTTGAGCAATGAATGGTATAAAAGGTTGTAAATAGGGGAGAGGTATAAATATGATCAAAACATATTTTGTGAATTTGAAAAATTCAATTAAAAACTTTAAAAAAATATGCTCACAGAGATTCTAGGACTGCTCCAGCCCACAAATCCAAATACTTTCAGAATCCTCCAAATTTTCCTTTGCTGTGATGAAACATAACAAGAGTAAATGAAGGAAATAAAGATTTGTATTGGGCTTAAGGATGCAGCCCATCACACCAGGTAAGGCACAATAGCTGCAGTGACAGGGCTCTGAGGTGATAGTCACATGGGATGCACAAGCAGGAAGCAGAGAGAGATGAATGATTATCCTCTACTTCTTTTCTCCTTTTTATTCAGTCTGGGATGCCTAATGTGCATTCGAGATTGGTCTTCCAATCTCACTTAAAATTCTTTCGAAATATTCTCTCAGAAGTGCCTAGAGGTCTTTTTCCTGGGTGACTGTAATTCCACTGAGTTGACAGTGATGATCAGTCACCATATATGCATTCAGTAAAAATAAATACTAAAGAATGTGATGGGAATGGAGCGATGTCCTAAAAATTAACAATACTTGCTGTTTTTGCAGGGGACTGAAATTTTGTCCCCAGCACCCATGTCAGAGGGCTCACAACTGCATGTAACTCCAGCTCTAGAAGATCCAATGCCCTCTGGTGAACTCAAGGTCCCCTGTACACACAGTATACATGCACAAACACACAAATACATAAATTTTTAAAAATCTTTAAAAATTAATTCCTTAAAATTGGAAGCCAAATGTTAACTTCACAGGACAATCACCAGAGACAGGTAATATATGAAATGAATATAAAGCACAGCAATTTAAATCTTCAATTCTACCATAATAGACGATAGGGACCAAAACAGATCTTCACAATTTTAATAGTCAGTCCTAGAGGTAATGTTTACACTTTTATTCTTAGACTGTGATGTGGCTGCTTATAATTGGATTTATAAAGATCCAGGGGGTTTTATATGCAAGCTAGGCAAGTAAAACCATAGCATTGTCAGCTTGAAACAAAAGTATAATTACATTCCCCAGATGATACTTTGGTTGGCTTTTCTTTCATTAATGACATAGAAAATAAGCCTATCCTAGGGCCCAGGATAATATGTCAGACAATTCCATTTGAACAGATGAGATATATAGGGGAATGACTACATAAGTTTAAAGCATAACGAGTTGAAGTGCCTTTTAGAGAATCCCACTGTTACTGATGAGATAGTTTTGCATATTAAATATTTTTTCAAAATTTGAAATCATGAGTAAATTTATGCAAATAAATCATTGGTCATATGGATAATGCCAATATAAACCATTCATTCTCTTGAAAACCAATAAATAAAGAAAAATGAAGAAGAACACACTAGTCAACTCAAGGTAGATAAATATTAAGGAAAGCATAGCTTTTCAGAAATATTCTAACCAAAAAAATGGAGGAACTATGATATACTACATTCCTGGTTATGATTTTTATTTCTTATGTTTTGTATAGGACCCCAAAAGGAAAAGCAACCAAACTAAAACTACTTTTATCTTTTTTATTAATTAGTAGTTTTTATTATTAATGATAATTTTGCATTCAATTGAAAAAAATCCATAGGCATCAGGAAACTAATAAAAGGTAATGAACAGTGGATCCTAGGCACATAGATACAATACATTCTGATTACTCTCATCACTAACCCTCTCTTATCTCCATCCCTGTAAACTCCCACTCTTCCCTACAAATCTCTTACCCACATTCATTTTTTTCTGTTTTATTTTATTTCTCACTGAGTTCAATCAGAGACATCTTTTTGACCATTGGCTTGGAAATCTTGCTACTACTCTTGGTTGGGGGTAAAAAGCAAACTATTAATAGACAAAGGGAATTTTACCTTACTAGGAAGTTTCTGCATAATAAAGAAAACACTCAATAAAACAAGGGGAAACTAGCTAGTGAATAGCAAATATCATAGCTAATTATTCAGTTGAATAAATGTTGATAAAAAATAAAAAGCAGAATCGATAATTTTAAAATGTGATCATGATCTGAAAAAAATTTCTCAAAAATGAAACACACAAAGTCAACAAATAGAATAAGAATATGAATCTGGCAGAGATGGCACAAGATTGCAATTCCTTGAGCCTTCTGGTGCACTTGTCCTAAATACTTTCTTTGTTGACCATCTCTTTTGTTCTTATCTTCTTTCTTAAATATTTCTTGCACATTATTTGCTTTCCATGATCTGGTTGAGAGTTAGGGAACACAGAGCAACATAGACCTAGGTAAAATCATCCACCAAACCGCTTAAGCACTTAAGTACATAAAGTTGGAAGAGAAAAAGTATAGCAACAACATACCACCCTATTCTCGTAATTCTTAAGGCTTTATTTAAATATGGAGATTCTGTATGTTATAAAACACTTAACTATGGGTATTTTGCTTATTTGTCTGTTTTGTTTGGTTTGGCTTTTTTGTTTTTGTTTTGTTTTGTTTTGTTTGTTTTTTGTTTTGTTTTTTTTTTGAGACAGGGCCTCCCTATAGCCCCAGCTGGCCCAAAACTGGCTATGTCGACCAAACAAACCTCAATCTGACAGAGATTGACTGACTCTGCCTCTGGAGTGCTGTTCCAATGATATTGTCATTATAGGTATTAATGACTCTTTTCTGGAACGAAAATATTTCAAACTCACTGGTCACTTTTTTATGTTCTATTTGGTAAATCATTAAAGAAAGGAAAGAAAAAAAGATACTTTATGCATATTTTCAGTGCCCTGGTTCAATTATTTACATCTCTTCTTGCCAAGGTCCTGGGAAATTGCCTGACTTTAGAGAAAAGATTATCTAGTATTAACTTTTGTATTATAGATGTGTAAATAAAGGCACATAGAGGTCATGTGACATTTCATAGTCACACTGGTGCAATTATGCTCTCTCTAAAGAAGTGAAGGATATGTAGAGAATCTAGGAGCAAGAAAAGTAAGATTTAGATGACATGTTAGGTCTGGAGGGAAATGAGAGTTAGAGTGGGAGTCTCAGGGCTGAGCAAGGAATGTTTCATTCTCTAATTTTCAATTAGAAAGAGGAAGAGATTTGTCATTTTCAAGAGAGGAAGTCACTACAGAGTACTGAGAGAAACCGTTACTCAAAGTACAGTTCAAACAGCTCTGAGTGTGTCAGAAGCTGCCCCATTGTGTGTGAAATGCTGCATCTGCCACTTGCTCTACTTGTTGGTCTGTTGCAAGCTGGTGAAAATCAGGATGGTAAGATTAACTCTAGGAGTTCCTCGTAGTGATGAAGGGGGTCTAGAGAAAGGCAGGTTGAACTTACTAGGTGCATTTGATCTTTAAGGTTCTGAGGCATCCTGCCTTCTTCCACCATTATACAGATTGGACCTGGGGAGTGAGGCCTTCAGGCTCTCAAGTATGTCAGGCCTTAATCTGTAGACTTTGGGTTCTATGTTTTCTTTAACCCTCCTTCTTCTATCTCTTCAGCATCTTTCTTCATTTTCTCCACAGCCTTGCAGGGGCCGACTGTTTTCCACGTTATACAGACCTCATCCTTTGTCAATAGCACTTGGGCACAAAATCAAGGATCTGGTTGGTTGGATGATTTACAGATTCTTGGCTGGGATAGTGCCTCAGGCACTGCTGTATTCCTGAAGCCCTGGTCTAAAGGAAACTTTAGTGATGCAGAGATTGCAGAGTTGCAGGAGATATTCCGACTCTACTTCTTTGGACTCATTAGGGAAGTACAGGAACGTGTCACAGATTTTCAGCTGGAATGTAAGTTTTTCTTTAGATTGGGGGTGTAGGGTGGAATTTTTAAGGACTTGTTTCCAGTCTTGTTTCAAGGTACTGCCTTTGCTGATCCTAGTCCTTCCTCTCTGTTCTACCCAACTACTTGTATACACTTATCAAGAACAGTCCATCTTTGAATCCATATTTTCACAAAGAATTCCAGATTCTTGCTGCTTCTACATTGTCTCTGATAAATGCCTTGGGAAAGGTCTGTGGCTTGTTTTGTGTGAAATTTAGTCTTCCTGTTCCTATCCTGTGCCTGGGTGGTTTAAAGATGGCTTTATCCTCTTATCCATCTCATGAGACTTCTTGTATCATGCACTCCTCTCCAAGTAATCTACTAGTTCCCACTGGAATGATTCACTTGTGACTGCATCATGCTACTCCTCATACTTTACTCATTTTTCTCACCCACCAGACACTTAAACAGGGCCTTACCACCAATGGCATGCCTGTTTCTCTCCAGTGCTCTCCTTTCTGAAAGCTTTGAAATGTTGTAGTCATTTTGATCATCTTGTCAAATTCCAGACTTTAATCTTCATTAAAATTCAAGATTCCTGACTTTTAGGCTGGGGAGTTGGTACAGCTGTTAACGACTTAGGCTCACAACCATAAAGACAAGATTCCTGGCTTTCCCACATTAATTTTCATTTTTGTTTCCTGTTTAATAACTTTTCGGTTTTCCTCCTTGATAGACCCTTTTGAGATCCAGGGCATTGCAGGCTGTGAGCTGCTTTCCACGGGTTCCACTGCAAGCTTCTTGAGGGGAGCTTTAGGAGGACAGGATTTCCTGAGCATCAAAAATCATTCGTGTGTACCTGCTCCAGAAGGTGGATCAAGGGCACAGAAGTTCTGCACATTAGTTACTCAGTACAAAGGCATCTGTGGTATTGTGAAGAAGCTCCTCTTAGAAACCTGTCCCCAATATCTCTTTGGCATCCTTGAAGCAGGGAAGGCAGATCTGCAGAGGCGAGGTTAGTCGTACTCTGTTTCACTTTTGATAATCTCCTTTAAATTTATGAGTAGATGGTTTCCATCAGTAACTTCTTTTTTCCTAATGAAGTAGATGAGTTAATGCCTCAACTGGGGTTTTTGGAGCTTGAATTAGACTTCTACCTGACACATTCCCTGTCTCTTCCTTCCATAGTAAAACCTGAGGTCTGGCTGTCCAGTGGCTCCAGTCCTGGGCCTGGTCATCTACAGCTAGTGTGCCATGTTTCTGGCTTCTACCCAAAGCCAGTGTTGGTGATGTGGATGCAGGGTGGCCAGGAACAGCAGAGCACTCAGATAGGTCACATCCTGCCCAACACTGATGGAACATGGTATCTCCAAGCAACCCTGGATGTGGAGGCTGCAAAGGCAGTTGGTCTGGCCTGCCGGGTGAAGCACAGCAGTCTAGGAGAGCAGGACATCATTCTCTACTGGGGTGAGAAAGAACTGGGGCCCAGGATGATAGAAAGTGGAGAAATTGGACCTCAAGCACAGAGGGGAGGATTAAGGAAAGAATGCCAAGAAAGGGAGAAATAAGGAGAGAAAAACCAGGGAAAGAACAAAAAGGGAAAAAGAAGTTATGAGTGGAAAGAACCCTTATGAAATAAAGGACACATAGATGGTAGAGTAAGGCCAAGGACTGTTGTGCATAGACTCTGAAGTGACATCCTACTTCCTCTTTCCCAATAAGCAGGAAAACCCAACTATGTTGGCTTGATCATTTTGGCAATTACAGGACCTTGCTTGGTCTTTTTGCTGTGCCTTGCATTGTGGGTTTTGAGGCGATGGTGAGTTTTTTCTCTGTCCCTTTTCTCTTCATTCACCCACTCCACTAGTAGTTAGTCTCCACTCTTCCACCAGAACATTCTTCCCAATGCCCATCTCACATGCATATTTAATGTAAAGAATGATGATTAAATAGACAGGGCAAAAATTTCTAGCATTTTTATGTGTGTTAAATACATTCCTTTTGTTACAACCATTATCTCCAGAACACTTGTCATCTGGGAAAATGGAAACTTTTAGGGGCAGGAGAGAGGATGAGTGCTTAAGATCACTGGCTGCTGTTGCAGAAGACCCAGGATTGGTTTCCAGCACCCCAATTCTAGGGGCTTTATTGCCCTCTTCTGACCTCCATGGGTATAACACATGAGCACTTACATGTAGTGAATGCACTCACACACATGAAATAAAAATAATAAATAAAAATGTAAAAAATGGAAACTTTCCTCTGTAGTTGTGACTATTCTATTTTTTGTTCTGTGGATTTGACTCTATATGTGCTTCACATAATTGAAATCATATATTGATCATTCTGTGACTGATTTTTCCACTTAGCATAAGTACTCAACTTTTGATTATGTTGCATCATATGTCAGAATTTCCTTCCTTCATGAGAAGAACAATGTATTGCATTTTGCTTGACCATTTACCCATTCAGGAGCACTAAGGCTATTTACATTTCCTATTGAAAATAATGCTACTATTAATCTGTATGTGTATGTCTTATATAAAATTATGTTTTACATTTTCCATAACAGGTCATATCAGAACATTCTGTGAGTCTTCAAGATGTTTTCTCATCCATTTGGAAAAAAGACCAAGAAATCAGAAACTTGAAATTACTGTCTCTCCAGGAGTCCCTTGGTTATATTTCTTTATGAAATCTGAGTTCCTATAGACTAAATCATAGTTTAAGAATAACCATAAAATAAATGAAATTTTTGTTGTATCAATAGTGAGCTGACATCAATAGTATTAGCCACTCAAGTTTTACCATTCATTAGGCAAAATTTCTGTTTTTGAAAGTTACAAAGTGTTTTTTTATTCTATGAAAATGTTTTATTGCATTGACTGCTATTCAAACAACAGAAAAAATCATATTTCTGTGACTTGTTTAGAATGTATATATGTGAACTGAGTTTGACAATATTTCACTAGGATTTTATATCTACAGTTGTTTAATTCTTTCAATATCTTTGTCAATTATTGCTATTAAAAGGGGTTTAACTTCTTGAAATGAGTTGCAAATTTGTTGTTGTAAATGTGTGTCTTTAACCTCAGCACTTGTAAGACAGAGGAAGAAATCTCAGTGAGTTCAAGGCCAGTCTGTTCTTTATTCCTTTATAGGTAGTTCCAAGACAGCCAGTATTCCATAGTGAGATCTCTCTCTCTTTTTTTAAGTTCAATGATTTTTATTGTTCAGAATGTGGGACAGTTTGTATTTTTTTAAATTTTTGTGAAGATTGGAAAAAAAAGCCATTAGTAAAGACATATGGGTAGGAACTCTTTTGGCAGGAAAAATTTAAATTTCACGTTTTTTTCTTTTTTTATAGAATTTTTGTGCATTTCATACAACACGTCTTAATTGCATTTAGACTCCCTTCCCTATCTGCACCCTAGAGCCCACTCCAAAGGATTTCATATATCTGCCATATATGATAAGACCTATCAAGTCAAGTTTGTGCCCCCAGATGCCCTTCAGTGTGAGTTCATCTACTAGAGCCTGGTTAACCTACATAGCATTACTCATTTAAAGAAGAAAAACTCTCTTGCTTTTAAAAGATCCTCAGCCAAGGTTGGTGTTTCTTATCCATTTCCCCACATCTATGCAGGGTTTCTGTCTGGTTTAATTTTGCATGGGTGTTATGCATGCTGTCACCATTACTGTAAGTTCAAATAAGAAAGTTCCCAACCATGTATATTTGGCTATATTTACAGTACCACGCATGAGTTCACGTCCACTGAGCAGGCCTTAAATCCAATTTGATTACCCCCAAGATGAAAGTATCGCTACTGCAACAATATAGTTTACTGTGTCAGGCATTTTATGCTTATTAGGCTTTACAGCTTGTTATAGCTTTGACTGATTTTTTTCTTCTTTATCAGCTTGCATAATATCCTCTAATATGAGAGCTCACCATCAGGGAGGAGGCTTCCAGGTCAGCTCCAGCTCGATTGTTCCAAGTCCTGTGTCCTTGTCTTCAGCAATAGGGTCACAACTTCAAGTCCTGGGAGGCAGTCAAGGACTATGGCATTAGCCCGTATTATTAGAGAAGTCTCTTGGAAGACCCTGATCAGCATTTCAAAGGGAGGTTCCTCCTTGTCCAGCACTGTGTGTCTTGTTATATAGCCTTCAGTTTTATATATTTGCATGTGTTTAGTTTTAGTAGGATTTTGAACTAATACATTTCCTTCTGAATTTTCATGCCACCTAAGCATTATTCATATCCCTTCTCTTTAGCCCTCCTCCTTCCCTAACAAATGTACCCCTATTTCTCCATTTCCCCCTTGACAATACCTGTCTCCTATTATCCCCCTCTCTCAAGCTTCTTCTTCTCATTTGCTCCTATGGTCCCTTGTATAATTCTTCCTCCGCCCTTCCCAGTTAAATACCTCCATTTCCCTTCTTTTCCCCTTCATAGCATCTGTCTCCTACTATCCCTTTCTCTTGAACTCCTTCACTGGTTGGTTTTCATTTTTCTGACTTCTGTGGTTACATTGTAATACATACTGACACATAAGAATTTGGAACTAAGATCCACAAATGAGAGCAAACATACTTGGCTTATTTTTTCTGAGTCTGTGTTATTTCACTTTGTTTAAAATTTTCTAGTTCCATCCATTTACTTGCAAAATTCATAATCTTTAAAAATTATTGAGTAGAACTACACTGTGTAAATGTACCACATTTTCACTATCGATTCATTGGTTGAGGGACATTTAGGTTCTTTCCATCTCTTAGCTATTGTGAAAAGAGCAGCAACAAATATGGCTGCACAAGCATCTCTGACAAAGGATGATTTCTTTGGCTATATGCCAAGGCATGGTATAACTGGGTCCTATTGTAGAGGGAGGGAAGGGGATATGAGGAACCTAGGGGATACAGTTCAACAGAGGTAGGATCATGGGAGCAAGGGTATTAGTAAGGAAGAAAGGGGGGGAAGTGCAGGCACCTTAAGTGGGAAAACCATGATAGAGGGGGGAGATGATACAAGAGAGAAACAATGCCTAGCTAGTCACGAAAACCAGAGGGAACCATATTACTCCTACAACCTACTGACAAATTATACATAGCAGATCAAGAAATATACGTCTAGGTAAGGTTTATCTGAGACTAATTGGTCTTTGCCCAAGATTTATATACATGACACATAGAAATTAAAAGTACGAGACTGGTGGAACTAACCTTCTTGGATGTTTAACAGACATACTTTGAGGCCTATACTAATTTGGTCAGAGGGACATA